GGAGCTCAAAATACCAAATATAAAGGGTGCAAAATAGTAGAGCGAATGGGACTTTTAGTAAGAAAAGGATTTCTATCCTTCCAGAAATTCTTCCCCAACATTCAAGATACCTTAAATCGCTTTTGCAGGTCATGTTTATTTAAGTAAACACCCCACATAGGAGTATCCCCAAGTCCACTTTCACATCTAATGTGTGGTCAGAAAAGTAAATATTGTATTATATTGCATTTCTAACCCCAAGAGAATATTGGTTGGGAACGTAGATTTGGGATGTACATCTATATGAAATAAATTGTGGAAACATGAACAAATTACAAATATAAAAAAGTAGCACGGGACCGAATATATTTTGAATCGTCATTGAATTATACCATGATGAAAAATATGGACTTTATGGAGTCTCCATCTTACAATTTAAATGGCAAATAAAATTAATTCCCATCTTACGGTAATGGGGGTAAAATAGTAATTATATTTGACTATTCTCAAATCATTCTGCCCTCAATTATGAGGAAGATAAAACTATTTTTAATTATTTAAATCACGAGAATTTTTTTTCAGTTTGACGTGGTATGCTATTCTGCTATATTTTTGATTTGGCCTCTATTTGTCATCTTGGATTATTAGGGGTAAAAGAAAGTTTTGAATGTAGGTCGATGTTTCGGAGTAGCGCCTATATAAAGGTACCTCCTGATTTTACCATATTTCAAAGGATTTGGCTAAAAATGTGTATTTGGGGTGTGAAAATCTTACACAATAATGTCAACATATCTACAAATTTCATTTGACTGGTAAATTTTGCTACGATTTTTACAATACTTAAAATTAATTTGATCCCTTACATGGGGATAAGATTGATATATACTTTTTAATGGATTTGTATAGCACATCCATACATTTGAAGCCCACGGCTTAAATATCGGTACAGGTATTTCAAAACACTTTTAATCGACAAGTACGTGAACACTTATATCAGTCATATCTGTGAATTATGCTTTTTATTATTTTTATTTTTTTTATATATATAGGAAAAAGGATTATAGTACACTTAAATTAATTATGTCAAATTGGAAACAAAGCATCGCGAAAAGTTTTTTTCATTCACATTATTATTGGCATTTTATAGCCAAGATACCATTCCAAAATTGAATGAATTGTTAAAATCCGTCAGGCAGTTCTTGAGTTATAAGCGTAGTAACATAATTTTCTTTTATATGGTGAAAATAATTTTTAATAACATTCAGAAAAGCCAAATTAAAAAAACGTGCGTTATATAAAATTGAAAAAAAAAATTGAAAAAGAAAAAAATCTTCAATTTAATCCCTGATATGTTACAGCAAATGTTTAAAGGTCCTTAGTTGGTCAATAGAATGTGCTATTATTTAGAAATTCGATTTTAGAATTTTCGCAATGAGATAGTCTCTTATTATTGATTTTTGAGCGACTTTAAAAAAGTAGTTATCGCTTAAGTTTGGTGTGAACGCGTTAAGTTATTTCGACATCATCTATTCAGTTTCGCCACCACATAATTCGGTACTACACTTTAATTAAACCCACCTGTAATTTAAATTTTCAAGCAATCGAGTCAATTAAATAAAGTTAATCATATTGAAAAAACCATTCGCAGATGGTAAAATATTGTTTTTTTCATGATTAATCTTTAGAAATGATATAATACAATTTCCGAGGATAATAGGCTATGGTAAACGGTAAGAAATATTTTACCATTACGTTTTCAAAAATCACGAAATAAGAGACTATCTCATTGCGAAAATTCTAAAATCGAATTTTTAAATAATTGCACATTCTATTGACAAACTTAGGAACTTTAAACATTTGCTGTAACATATCAGGGATTAAATTGAAGATTTGTTTCTTTTTCAATTCGTTTTTCTTTTTTTTTTTTTTTCAATTTTATATAACGCACTTTTTTTAATTTGGCTTATCATATTGAATTTAATCGTTTTTTTTTTTTTTTTTTTTTTGAACGTTATTAAAAATTATTTTCATCATATAAAAGAAAGTTATGTTACTACGCTTATAACTCAAGAACTGCCTGACGGATTTTAACAATTCATACAATTTTGGAATGGTATCTTGGCTATAAAATGCCAATAATAATGTGAATGAAAAAAATCTTTTTGGCGCGATTTTTTTTTCCAATTTGACATAAATAATTTAAGTGTACTTTGAAGTGTACTATTGTTTTGAATTCTGAATGTATAATATTAAAAATGAAATTAATGCGCAATACTATGCTAAATGGCGATCTTTCGTGTATAAAATTGACATCTAGCTTTCAACTTCAGGACCTACGTCGTGCTTCAGCTGGAAGATGCTAACACATTCAAACAAACAAAAATGACTGACAAAGCGTTATGGGACTAATTTCAAAACGTGGACCTACTTCTTTCATATAACAATAATCCGTCTAATGAGAACGCAAAATTCATTGGGACGGCAATCAGAGAAATAACGAATATAAAGGGCGCAAAATATTAGAACGAGTTGAACATTTAGTAAGAAAAGGATTTATATTCTTCCTAAACATTCAAGATACATTAAATTGCTTTTGCAGATCATGTTATGGGTCATAACACCCGGATAAGGGTACAACCCGACTTCTATATATTTACATTTTATCCATAACTTTCATACTAATTTCGGCAAATGTTGGTAATTTGAGAAGAAACCATCCTTGCAAAAAATGATCACATGTTGGTATCGCCATTTTATGATTTATGCTATATTCGGGGTCTTGGACACTTTTTCCTTTTTTGGCATCATGGTTTCTAAGGGGGTAGAAAACCTCTTCTCATAATATTTTCATGTTTTTCGGAGTAGGGTCCATCTTGGTCTTGACAACATTCATAAATTAATTTGACTAACAATTTTATTTAGGCTACTCTGGGGTAGAAAACCATCGTACAAATAATTGTCCATATAGGCATTCATTTAAGTATAGTCCCCACATAAGCGTACCCCCAAGTCCACTTTCCCAACGAATGTGTGGTCAGAAAAGAAAATGTTGTATTCTATTCAATTTGTCACCACCAAGGGAATGTAGAATCGGGATGTACATTTATATGAAATAAACTCAGAAATGTCAACCTGAAACTTATTATTATTACTTATAATGAAAATTGTGCCGCTTACATAATTCTGATCTCTAATTTATCATGCTTTAAAAAATATGCATTAAAGACTTAAAGACTTATTTGGGGGCTGAGGATCTGACCACGCCTACTTTTTAATCTATATATAAACCAATTGTTGTTCGTTGGTAATTTAATCAGTTGAGATCGACTGGAACTATTTGTATAGTTTTGTTTAAATGTTCGTCCTACCCCGATTTAGATTTTTGTGCAAAGAAAAAGTGACCACGACCAATTTTGCGCCCGATTTTTCTAAAATCCTAATATTTGACAAAATCATGAAGATATCTGTTCCACAGTTAGTATACGACGTAATCTTGACTCTCCCTCCACACCTAGGTATCTGTCTGTTTATATGTAAAAAAAAGGCTGGGCCGATTTGATAATTTTCTTTTAGTTATTTGTAATTGCAGTGGAAACGTTGTCATGAAAGAAAATATTGAAAAAAATCGCGGAACTGAAAAAAATATGACATGGAATTTTGTGTAGAATTGAAAAAAAAGTAAAAATAGAGAAAGTTTGCATATTTTCTATACATGCTGTTATATGGTTGTCATAACCAAATTTTCAATTTTGATTAGATATGGAAATAATCCATCCATTGGAAACTCAAAATGCAAAATTCATTGGGACTTAAATCAGTGAAATACCGAATATGAAAGGCACTGTACTATGCGGTCTATACAAAATGGTGGAGTGAATTGAAGATATAGTAAAAAAAGGATTCATATACTCGAATTTTCTTCCGAACCCTTAAAAGTAAACTTAAATCATAGGTAACGTTATACGAGCACTATGCGCTATCGTCAGTAAATTTTTCGTTTGGTTAGGAAATTTTTCGGTTGGTATATAAAAATTCCAAGAAAGGGGTACCCGGATCTAACTTTTTTAGAGTCCATTTTATATAGCTTAACAATACACAAAGGACAGCAAATATTTTGCCCCATACTCCGAAAAAGTGACGATAAAGTTTTAAATTGAATACAGTCCAAGGGGTTACATGAGGAATCATTTGTACAAAATATGTATCAGGTTGATCTACATTGTTTCAAATTTCTCAAATGTTGGTAATTTGAGATTTTAGAAGGAAGAACAAATTCGTTCAAATAATTATAAGTATAGGACCAGGCTTCATTATAACTCTTATGTGAAGGTATCCCATGATTTTAGCTATTATCAGCGTATTGGTCACACTTTTCAATTGATTTCGCCCTTATTTGGCACCTAGCTTCTGGTAGAAGACCTCTTCGGGGAAATTTTTCAATGTCAATGTTTCGGAGTGACGCTCATATAAAAGTACCTCCTGAGTTTACCTATTTCGAGGGTTTGATTACATTTTCGAATCGATTTTACTTAAAATGTGTGTTTAGGCTACTTTGGGGTAGAGAACCATCTTACATGGGTCCATTATAAACAGATAATGTATATTTTTTAATATATATGCTATATTATTTAGGTTTTTAACTCTCAAACTAAAACCTCTTACTGAAAAATAGGATAAGGTTTTTTGAAAGACGTATTTTTTCCATTTAATCCGATTTAATGGAGTCATCATTTATTCTAAAAATTGTGCCACTTATGTGAGCCAGATTTGTGAATTATTATGCTTTAAAAACGGGCCGGCAACGCGGACTGCGGCAGCTAGTTACTCATAATTTCACTGGCACAACATCGAAATACGCAATGTGTAAAGTCTAAAATATTTATTGCGCAATATTTAAAAATAAAAAACTTAATTTGGCTATCAATTTAATTGTATCGAAAGTAAAAATGTATCAATGTATTGAAAGTAAAAATGGACAAAATGAGGCAATAAGAATGCAGAAATTGCAAACAAATACTTACCCATGACACTGCCTTCCTTATCGGTGGTATATTCAATATATGCATTGCTTTTATCTTCAATACGTAAATTTCCGATGCTAAAATCTTTGGGAGGTTTTGGTAAATGTTCTGTAACAAACCACTGCAGCCGAGGCCAACCTTTCAACTTTGCGATCTCTCCTGTGCTACATTTCGGCAATCCTTTTAAACAGGCTTCAGAAGTAAGTGCTACATTTATGCCACATGAACTTAAAAGGAACCCCACTTGCTGTGGAGGGGTGTCCGAACTTGATAGAGGCAGTTCGATGGGGAGTGGCACAAGTCCTCTAAACATACATCCATACCAGGCGGTAACAAAGCTGTGTAAATAAAAAAAACATAGTTGTGTAATGTGATTATATTTCATAAATATGTCAGAGAAAAATGTCACAGAAGACTGAGCTGGATTCTTAGATAATCCGGTTTTGGATTTAGACACAATAAAGTAAATATATATATATATATATATATATATATATATATATATATATATATATATATATATATATATATATATATATATATATATATATATATATATATATATATATATATATATATATATAAATATATAAAAGAGGAAAATGTTTGTATGTTTGTTTGTAATTTATGGACTCGAAAACATTGTTGAAATTCCACATGGAAGTGGAGATATAGAATCAGAATCGGTACCTTCCAAAAATTTAGATCTTGTTCGCACATATCTGTTGATCGATTACATTTACAGTCTCCAAATTTGGAACAAAAATAAATTTGCCTAATTATATTGAAATCGGTTCAGATTTGGATATGGCTCTTATATATATTTCGACCGATTTCAAGCATTTGATGCACAATCCGGCTATGTATCCTAAATTTCAATAAAATTTGAAACGTGTGCTGGATTTTACCTAAAAAATTGATTTCCCAAATTATATTGAAATCAGTTCAGATTTGGATATAGCTTCCATATATATTTTCGACCGATTTCGTTCATTTGATGCCTCAAACACGATATGAATGTTCGATTCCAATGAAATTTGGGATGCTTAATGGGATTTGATCCGAAAATAATTTTATCAAATTATATTGAAATCGGTTCAGATTTGGATATAGCTCCCATATACATTTTCGGTCGATTTCATGTATTTGGTGCACCAAACACGATATGTATGACCAATTTTAATGAAATTTAAAATAAGTAACGAAATTGGGAGCAAACATGATTTTGTCAAATTATATTGAAATCAGATTTGGATATAGCCCCCATATATGTTTTCGACCGATTTCATGTATTTGATGCACCAAACACGCTATGTATCTCTAATTTCAATGAAATTTGGAATGTGTAGCGGAAATTAAAACGAATATACATTTGTCAAATTATATTGAAATCAGTTCAGATTTGGATATAGCTTCCATATATATTTTCGACCGATTTCGTTCATTTGATGCCTCAAACACGATATGAATGTTCGATTCCAATGAAATTTGGAATGCTTAATGGGATTTGATCCGAAAATAAATTTATCAAATTATATTGAAATCGGTTCAGATTTGGATATAGCTCCCATATACATTTTCGGTCGATTTCATGTATTTGGTGCACCAAACACGATATGTATGACCAATTTTAATGAAATTTAAAATAAGTAACGAAATTGGGAGCAAACATGATTTTGTCAAATTATATTGAAATCGGTTCAGATTTGGATATAGCCCCCATATATGTTTTCGACCGATTTCATGTATTTGATGCACCAAACACTAATTTCAATGAAATTTGGAATGTGTAGCGGAAATTAAAACGAATATACATTTGTCAAATTATATTGAAATCGGTTCTGATTTGGATATAGCTCCCATATATCACTTCAACCGATTTCGTTTATTTGATGCACCAAACACGATATGTATGTTCGATTCCAATGAAATTGGGAATGTGTGACGGGATTTTGATTAGAAAAGAAATTAGTCAAATTATATTAAAATCGGCTCAGATTTGGATATAGCTCTCATAAATATTCTCGGCCGATTTCACATATTTGATGCACCCAAAGCGAGAGAGACGAAATCTGGCACCAGAAAAAAATTGCCAAATTATATTGAAATCGGTTGAGGTTTGGGTATAGCTAACATATATATTTCGGCTGACTTCATACATGTTATGCACCAAACACGATATATATGACCGATTCCAATAAAATTCACAATGTGTGGCGGAAATTGGTTATAGCAATAAATGTGATAAATTAATTGGAAATTAGTTAAGATTTGGTTATAGCTCCCATATATATATTCTCGGCCGATTTCACATATTTGACGCACCAATTTCAATGAAATATGAAAGTTGTGGTGGAATTTGGTGTAAAAGTAAATTTTTTAAAATTATATTTGAATCGTATCAGATTGGGATATGATTTTAATAAGAACCATTGACCCACAACGCCTTAGGCTAACACTAAAAAGCAACACAACAATTAATTTGAAATACGCTTATTACGGGGAAGTATGTTGCTACCTCGAATTCACTAATTGCAATAGAAATGCCACTCAACTTCAAAAAATTGCAGTTTCCTGCACGCTTGGTATTTGCTATGAAATAAATAAATCCAAAGGACAAACCCTTCGTGTATGCATGTCATGTTACTGCTTTTCTAATGGTTTTTTATTAACGCATTAAAATAGTGCACTATTTTTTTTTTAATTTTTAAATTTTTTTTTTTTGCAACATATATTCGTAAATAAAATTTTGAATGCATATAAAATGAAAAGGGGTAGCGAAGCGCACCGGGTTCAGCTAGTATATATATATATATATATATATATATATATATATATATATATATATATATATATATATATATATATATATATATATATATATATATATATATATATATATATATATATATATATATAACAACGAATAACAAGTTTCGTATTTGAATATTGTAATGGCTTATAACAAAAGTTACCTATGCAGCTCCACGTCTTCGTAGAGACCCCAATATAAGTGTAATATTCGGTATTCTTAAGATTTTAACAGAATTTTCAACGGATTTTATTTTTTTTTCAACATTCGTTCCAAACGGTGGGTGGAGGAGGAAGCTCGACCAGGCTTTTTTAATTGTTTATTTATTTTGGGTTTAAGAGAAGACAATTCTTCGCCTTCCTTATAGCTATTTTTAAAAATCGTTAGAACAGCATATCCAACCTAAGTTCGTCTAATTTTTGCATCGCTTTCAAGGTCACCAATGCACGATGATTCTAAATGTCGAGTCATTTTTAGTTGATTTCTTTGTCAATTTGCACAATGTATTCTGAGAAGTACTCGCATGTTCTTAAAGAACTGTCAACTGTTGTAGACCTTTATATAAGGACACCTATAACGGAGTTAGATGTAATTTGACATTTGGAATTTTTTGGAGACATAAACCTTCACAAAAAATTTTAAACATGGGACCATAATCTCGCATAAACTGACCAGTGGTGTTACGCTGGATGGACCCTGGCCCCCTCTGAAATGACTATTGCCACTTTTTTATATTTTGCTTCCTGACACAATTGAAGTGAAAGATGGCGTACCTGGCTTTTCCTTGATTAAACAATTTTGATGACTTATAAATATTGTTCTCTTGTTATTCAAATATAATGATGTAATTCTCCCATTTAATGTTACGGCGTGATGAAAGTTGTAAACGTCGAGAACGTCATATATCTAAATAAAAGGTAAAAATAGTACACTTTAAAAACTGGTATATGTGAATTATCCAAAATGAGTGATGTTTTGCTAGGAATTCATAAAACTATTTTGGTACTTTCGTTGAGGGTGTAGCATATTGTTCTATGTCGATTTAGCCATAACCGTCCGTCTGTAAAAATCAGTGTAGGTTCCGAATGGCACGAAGTAGGTCGAAAAAATTGTACTCAAATGGGACATATAAGACCATATAAGATTTATTTTAGCTCCATATAATGGTGAAACGTATGTCGTTATTAGAAAATTTGTTAAAAGGCATTGTTTCTGAGAGATTTGTTAAAAAAAATGTTGGGATAGAGCTTAAATGAAAGCGATAGAAACAGTCGAAATTGGTTCCACTGGAGATAATCACCCTTCTTGGGTTCTCTTCAAACTACAATTTTTGGTTATTGACGCTTTTTCCGTAGCTGTGTGGAATTTAGAGACAGAGTTATATTTGTGGAATTAAGATACATTTTAAAATGAAGGAGTAAGTTGTGATATTGGATGCAATAAAATGAAAACAATGAATTCCCGGTTTGGAAAAGGAAGTTTTTTGCAACATTGGAATGTTGATATTTTCCCCTCTTATTTCAGGGGATAAACGCAGGATTAAAGGTAAGAATCAAGAAACAGCTACTGGTAAATTGAATTATGACACTTTTGTCCATTTGAACACAATGGACCAATAGTCACGAAGTGAAGCTGCTCGAGCTCTAGTGTAGCTGAGCATCCTGAAACCGTAACCTAAATTTTGACCATTTTCATCTACATCTCTGAGACATAGATATTTATAAATGTAAATGCTGCGGCAATTTTCAAAGGAAACCAAAACAATTAATTTTGGCCGCACCTCTTCAAAACATATCCCATTGCCATGTAACAATTTTGAAAGTGCCGAAATCTTATATTTGTGCGTTATATATTTTTTCTGTTATTTGTAATTTCCTAATATTCCCTTGAAAATTACGGTTACTACAGACTATTCGGAAACGTCGACCTGTATACATACTTAGCTGTCGTATGTGGCGATACCTATAGTCAACTCGAAATACCAACATTAAAACCGTTCCCTTAAATAATCAAAACAACGAATATCGGGAGTTATGGTTACATGGCGTCTATACGATGACGGGGAACTGTATAACCAATATTGCTGTCATGTGATTTCCAATTGTCGATTTTGAAAAAAAAAATACGTTGAAAATGAGAATAGGAGGTAGAATTACATGGGGATGTGTAAAAAAGCAGGCCTGTATATATTTTTCTATCAGAGAAGATGGAACCTATTTTCAACACCAAATACCCCTTTTTAATAAATTAGATATTCATGCACCTATATAAGCACGATTTATGCCGGCTGGGAAATCCCTGGGAAGTACAACTTTTGAGAATACTTAGAATATAAATTTTCCAAGGTTTCAGCCGCACCAAAAGCAAAGTATTTTGTACAGTGAACATTCTGGGAACGGGGCAAAAATTACAAATTACAATTACAAAAAAAAAAACAGAAGAAATACATATTGTTAATAAACGTGCGATCGAGATTATGTGTGCAATTAAATCTAAGTGGTGGCTTCCGTGATACATCTTAGCTGT